TTTGAATGCTATTATTTTTAACTTGTTTGCACTTTTTGTTTTAGGTGTGTCTTTTGTCAACAGCATGAAATTTAAAGTGTTTTTTTGTTTGTTTTTTGAGACAGAGTCTCACTTTGTCATCCTCAGTAGAATGCCATGGTGTCACAGCTGACACTCACAGCAACCTCAAACTCTTGGGCTCAAGTGATTCTCTTGCTTCAGCCTCCCAAGTTGCTGGGACTATAGGTGCCACCACAATGCCCAGCTATTTTTAGAGACAGGGTCCTGCTCTTACTCAGCCTGGTCTCAAACTGGTGAGCTCAGGTGATCCACCTGCCTCAGCCTCCCAGAGTGCTGGGCTTACAGGCATAAGCCACAGTGCCTGGCCTGGAAAGTAAAGTTTTTAAAGCCAGCTGTAGAGAGATAGATGGTGAAGCAAAGACAGCAAAATAGGAATTGAGCGTGTATATGGGTGTGTGCTGTACAATTCTTTTAGGTTTTCTGTATTTGAAATTTTCACTATATAATGTAGGGGGTGTTTAAAAAACCAATAAACATAGCCAGGCATTGTGGCGGCCTCCTGTAGTCCCAGTGACTTGGGAGGCTGAGGCAAGAGAATCACTTAAGCACAAGAGTTTGAAGTTGCTGTGAGCTGTGACGCCATGGTACTCTACCAAGGGTGACAGTGAGACTCTGTCTCAAAAAATGAAATAAAATAAAATAAAAAATATAAACAAAATCCCCCTCTGGAATGTGTGTAAAATCCTAATAGGCCACTCAGAGGGGAGCAATGGGGAAGGACCCACATATGGCCTTTGGCTCCCCCTTCAGGTAAGGGGTAAATCACGAAGCCTCTTTCACTCTGTTTTCTCCTGGCAGCACTGGGATCAGAGCACCCAGCGATGTGGGTGTCATCATTGGTGCCATCGGGTGTTGCAAAAATCTGCCCGCACAAGGCTTGGGGCCCTGTAGTTTCCCAAACCACAGGGAATGGGTTGTGCTGCTAGTAACCAGCAGAGGGCGTACCGACAGCAGCACAAGTCCCAAGTTTTCAGCCCTAGCTTTGCCTTCGGAGTTTTTTTTTTTTTTTTTAAAACAATGCAAAAGTCAGACCTAGCCAAGCCTCTCCGTGTTGGGTGATTCCAGACATACAGCACTTTATTGATGGCTGCAGTGGCCTCCTGGTGCTGTCTCCCTTTGTTTTTTTTTTGTTTTTTTTTTTTGAGACAGTCTCACTATGTCGCCTTCGTGTCTGCCATCCCAGCTCACAGCAACCTCCAACTCTTGGGCTTAAGTGATTCTCTTGCCTCAGCCTCCCAAGTAGCTGGGACTACAGGTACCTACCACAACGCCTGGCTATTTTTTTTTTTTGTTGCAGTTGTCATAGTTGTTTAACTGGCCCAGGCTGGGTTCAAACCCGCGAGCCTTGGTGTATGTGGCCAGCACTAAAACCACTGTGCTACAGGCTCTGAGCCACAGTCTCCCTTTTTATCTATGCCATGGGCTCCAGGTTTGGCCACCTCCAGCTCCTTTGTAAGGATCTGCTTCTCTTATCTGTAACTCCGGTTAGACTTGGGGAGACCCTGGCACAGGGCCTGGCCCAACACCTAGGACTTGAAGAGTGCTGGGCTCACTAATGGACTGGCATTACCTTCTGTTTGTCATTTTATCCCCCTACAACTCAGAAGTGGGAGAATTACTCATCCTTACTGGCCCAAATCATCCATCACAGATATCGTCCCCAGAGCCTGGCTTGTTCAACCTGGGCACAGATGGGATTATCACGGGAGGGGTGAAACTGGGTGCCTCTCAGCATGCACTCCCATTGTGGGTTGAATTTTGTACCCCGCAAAAGATATGTTGGCATCCTAATCCTTAGCATCTGAGAACCTTATTTGGAAATAGGGTCAGTGTAGATGTAATTAGCTAACATGAGGTAATCAGGGTGGGCCCTAAGCCAACATGACTGATATCCTTATAAAAAGGGGAGATTTGGACACATGCATGCAGGCGCAGGCCGGTGGCAAATCTATCCAGGAATGCCACATATCCACCACCAAAAAACACCAGGAGCTGGGAAGGGAACACAGCAGATCCTCCCTCACAGCCTCAGAATCTGGGACAGGCTCCAAAACCGTGAGGAACAAATTTCTATTGGTTAAGCCACTCAGTGTTAGCGTTTTGTTGCGGCACCCCTGAGAAATGAAACTTTCCCCGGCCCCTCTCCCTAAAGCAAGCGTTCTTGTCACTGCCAGTAACTCTAGGAATAGGCAGCTCCTGCTCCAGGAACAAGGGGTGAAAGGCTAGCTGAGAGTCCCAAGACCCTGGTGTCCACCTAGTCCTACAAGGTACAATCAGAGTAGTGTGGTCCCTTGTTTTTTTAGCCATAAAATGAGGACAAACCCCTGTTCTACAGAGGTGTGGTGGCCAGTGAAACTATCTGCACCCTAGTGAGAGCCTGGCACACAGCAGGTGCTAATAAGCCCACCTGCCTGCTCTCCCTGTGGTTCCCTTACAATCCATATTTCAGCTATAGCACCTGAGGATGTGCCCCATGCCCTGTGTCCCCCCATCCCACAGCAGCCTGGGGTGGTAGTAGTTCTTTTTTTTTGAGATGGAGCCTCAAGCTATCCACCTGAGTAGAGTGCCATGGCATCATGTTCACAGCAACCTCCAACTCCTGGGCTCAAGCGAGTCTCCTGCCTCAACCTCCCAAGTAGCTGGGACTACAGGCGCCCACTACGATGCCCGGCCATTTTTTGGTTGCAGCCATCATTGTTGTTTGGCGGGCCTGGGCTGGGGATTTGAACCCGCCACCTTAGGTGTATGTGGCTGGCGCCTTAGCCGCCACAGGCGCCGAGCCGGTAGTAGTTCTTTAACTCTGGATTTGGGTCCTGTCCTCCAGTTTGATCCTGGGAGCCTGTGGAGGCCAGGATCCAGAGAAGGCAGGAAAGTCCGTCTTCAAAGCCTGCCTCTGTTTGGACCTGAGCCCACTGGCTGCTGGACCCATCTTTCTGAAACATGCATACCTAGCCCTGTCTCTGCCTGGTGGATGCTCTCTCCAAGCTTCCCTTTGCCTCTGGCCTCCTTTGCCCAGCCCTGACTGCTTCTCAAGCTTTGGCCAGAGGCCTCTCCTCTCCCTACCTGTCCCCTAGGCCCTCTATACATGGACCATAATAGATAACATCCTCCTGACTTGTCCTCTCTCGTATACCCCAGTGCCTTTCTTATACCTGCAAGTGAGTCCAGCCCAATTTATCCACCTGGGAAACCCTTACTATTTCTCAGGCTCAAGTTAAACATTAGACAAAGAGCATGGGAAAAACCAGGAAGAGGAAGGTGAACCAAGCTGCCTGGAGTTTCTAGCTCTATATCAGGCAATGATAAAGTACCAATAGCTGCTAGCACTGGTCCTGGGTATATGGCTCCTCAAGAAACCCATGTGGAAGGTAGGGTGCCGTGGCTCATGCCTGTAATACTAGCATTCTGAGAGGCCAAGGCAGGTGGACTGCCTGAGCTCACTGCTTCAAGACCAGCCTAAGTCATAGCGAGACCTTGTCTCTAAAAATAGCTGGGTGTTGTCCTGGGCGCTGATAGTCCCAGTTACTTGGGAGGCTGAGGCAAGAAAATCACTTGAACCCAAGAGTTTGAGGTTGCTGTGAGCTATGATGCCACAGCACTCTACCGAGGGTGACGAAGTGAGAAAAGAAAAAAAAGAAAACATTGAGCAGTTTGATGGAAGTATTTCAGATTGCATGTGAAAACCCCACACTGTACCCCAGAAGTACATTAATGTACATAGTTACCATTCAAAAAAAAAAAAAAAAAAAAGAAAACAAGAAACCCATGTGGAGAAGGAAGGGGTAATTGGGCAGAATCCAGTCATTCCTGGGTCCTGGAGTTATTGACTTCCACTACTGTTAGACTTAGTCCCCACTCTCAGTGTAAAATGCCTCCCCTCACTTTCCATCTGGCAAATTCCAAGTTACTCAAGGCTGTGGCAGACAGTTGTTCTCTATTTTTCCATTTTTTATACCATTATAGAACGACTGGCTTGAATGGTCACAGGGTAAACCAGCTAAGTTTCCCACTCTCCATTTGACTAGGTATGGTCACATGACTAAATTCTGGACTATAGGATATAAGCCGAGGTGAAATGTATAGTTTGATACCATGTACTTAAAGAGAAGTAGCATGCCATTGCTCCCCTCCTTCCCCCTTCCTTCTGGCCAGAGTGTGGCATGACGGGAATTGGCATCCTGGACCACAGGATGGGAGCCACATGTAGAGATAGGGAGGGCAGAGCAACAAGTTGGAGGGAGCCTGGGCCCTACAGCACTGCTCAGCAGAGCAACTGTATCAACTTGAGCTTTTACCAAAAAAAGAAATAAACCTCCACTTTGTTGAAAACACTGTTGTTTGGGTATATTACCAGGAGCCGTTCAAGTGAAGTGGCTGAGAGAATGCAGTTTCCTGAGTTCAACCCTAAGCTCTACCACTTTCTAGCAGTGTGACCTTGCCAAGTCACTTAATGTGTATGTACATTAAGTGATGTAGAGCTATACATTATGTGATATAGAGCTAAATACTCCAGTGCTCAGGTTCTTCAACTAGGAAATGTGAGTAGTAAAAATACAAACCACCAGCTGTCACAGGGATCGATTTAGTTAATTCTATGCAAAGCGTTTGGAACAATGCCTTGTACATAGTTAAGATATGTAAACAGTAGGTGTTACCGCAGCTGAACCTAAAGTCCAAGTAATACACAAACCCACCTCAAATACCATCTCTGTCTAGAATGTTTCTGAGCAACCCCAGGCCTGCTCCTTCTATATGCACAGCTCCAAGAGCTGTACTTGAGACCTTTGCTGAGATGAGTTGGACAGAAACTAATGCTCATCACCTCACAGAAACCCAAGGGAGAGGTTTGATAAACGTTTTGTCCACAATATACAATTAAAGTTAAGGCATACTTCTGGACAAAGGAGTATACCCCCTTCAAAAAATAAATGTGACTCTTCAAGGTTGTCATACTTTATACATAAATGAGTAGAATTAAGGGTGTCCTTTTCATTATCGACTTTCTCTATTAAATTGTGAGAAATAATCTCCTGTGGGCTGATTTATATAAACTTCATTCACATGTTTTTTCCTGATAAAACAAAAGGAGAAAAAAAAGTTTAGCAAATATTGTACTTTTAAAATATTCTACTTTTTTTGTTTTCTTAGAAAAAGCCTGCAAACTTTTTATTAGCATTTTATCCCCAAGATACAGAATGTATTACAATTCTAATGAGCAAAAAAAAAAAAAGAAAAGATTCACCTCAACTGCTCCTCAGCAGTGAGGGTCATTTTATAATCACAGTGTAGTTAGAAGAGGGGCTGGCCCCAGTGAAACTTGGGAATATCTTAAAATTAAACCTCCATGGGTTTGACTGTGAAGATGCTTTGCTCATCCCATTTGTTTAGCACTCCTAGGCTCCCAAAAGACACAAGGACAACAGGTGCACCCACAGGTCATCAGAAGATTGGAGATGGTAACTCCAGTTTCCTTCTGAGTTCAAGCCAAGAGCTTGGGGAAAAGGTCAGTAAAAATTGTTTTCAGTTGCAACCTCACCTGCTTATCTGACAGTTTCCTGTACTTGGAACTCTGAACTACTCTTGGGGTCCTGTCTGTAACCTGGTAGACTCCAGGCATGTTCAGGGCAGCCCTGGAGCCCCCTTCTCCAGACAGCCCTCCCTGTAGTGGGCAGCGCCAACCGGCTCCAGTCTCAGCTTCCTCCAGGAAGCTTTGGGACGCAAGGCCAACTACCCCAGGCCAACTCCACTGCGACTCAGGGACCTTTCCTGAGCTTCTGGTGTCCTCTGTACCCTCCATCGGCACACCAGTGGGTGTAGCAGTGACAGTATCAACCCTATCCGAGCCCTCTTGAGGTCCCCAGAGCACAGACTGTCACCCCACCCGGAACTCACTGCAAATGCTGCTCACAGGCCAGGCTGAGGTTGCTGCTATCCAAGGACCTGCGCAGGCCGCGCTGCTCACGCTGCTGCTGACGCTCAAACAGCAGGGCGGCGCGGGCAGCCTGGATCCTCCGCCGGTCCCAGTCCATGTCTCGCTGGTGCTCTTCCTCCTGGAGCCTCTGGAGGGAGGAGAGGTGACTCAACTTTCCCCAAGTTATGGAGCTGCGTCTCTCATTTTAAAGATGGGGAAACTGAGGCTTAGAGAAGGAATGCGTAGATGACCAGTGTCATGCCGGAAGCCCTCATTCCATGTGGCCCAGCTGTTATCCACCCTTACAGCTGTGGGTCCTCCTCTTACTCCTGAAGAGACAGTGGGACTCAATTCCAACAGGAGCCCCAGTCCCAGGTACCAATGTGCAGGCCTGAGCCCTGGGTCTTCCCTCCTTGGAGCCTCAGGAAGGGTCCTAAGCTTGGCTGGCAGCCAGGCACTTGCTCCAGGAGCACCCCATGCTGCTTCACTGGCTGGGCACTGGGATCACCTGGGGAGTTTCTAGAACTTGCTGATGCAATAGCCCAACCAATAAGGTCACAATTCTGGGGGTAGGGACACCTGGGCCCTGAATTTCTGCATTTCAGCTCATTCCCCCTCGCCCTCCTGGTGGCTCTGTGGAAATCACAGAGCTCTAGAAGAACAAGTTGGATTAGCCCAGAGGGAGGGAGTTGCCCCTCATCCTCTCTGCCCCACCCTCAATGAGCAAAAAGCAGCAGGCTTAGTGGACCAGGACTGAAGATGAGTCCCCTCTCCCCACTTCCAGGGGGAGGTTGGTTGGGGGTAGAGCCTCCTCCCACCAGATGAGGAGGAGTAGAGTGGCCAGTGGCTCCTCCACCCCAGCCTGGATCCACCTCTACTTAGGACTGAAAGGCAGGCTGGTGGCTGGCTGTGCTGCCTGTGAGGCAGGTCACCTGGCTCCTGTGAGCCTCAGTGTCCCACCTGTCCAGTGAGGGTGCATGCAGTGCATTGATCATGAATACAGAATGAGACGAGATTCCAGACTCAGCTCTTTCCACCTCCAGCTACTTCTGAGCCACATGCCCCTGTCTTCCCAGGCCCAGCTCAAGGACAGCTGTTTTCTCTCCCAGCCTTGTATCTCTGGCCTGGAGGTAAGCAGGAGAGCAAGCTGTCCCCCTTGCTTCTCACACCCTGGTCAAGGCCATTGCCAGTATCCTTCCTCCTCCCCATCAGCTTAGAAGCTCAAACCAGCTATGGTACCCTCGAATCCAGCCTGGCAGTCACTGAGCATTCTTGGCAGGTTTTTTTTTTTTTTGAGACAGAGCCTCAAGCTGTCCCCCTGGGTAGAGTGCCATGGCATCACAGCTCACAGCAACCTCCAACTCCTGGGCTCAAGCGCGTCTCTTGCCTCTGCCTCCCAAGTAGCTGGGACCACAGGCGCCTGCCACAACGCCCGGCTATTTTTTGGTTGCAGCCGTCATTGTTGTTTGGCGGGTCCGGACTGGGGATTCGAACCCACCACCTTAGGTGTACGTGGCTGGTGCCTTAGCCGGTTGAGCTATAGGCGCTGAGCCTCTTGGCAGGTTTAAAAACTTCTCCCAACTCTGCTGCCAGGATTCCCAGTGACTTCAGCATGCACAAGGCTCTCTCCTGTCCCTGGATCCTTAGCTCTCCCACCTCCTCTCCAAAGACAGATCCCTGACTCTTCATCTTCTCACTGCCCTGGGCTCCCTACCAGTGGCTCTCAAATCTGAGAAGCCCCTGTGGCCTGCTGAACCACAGACTGTAGTCTCAGCTAGTGCTGCTGGTCTGGACAGCCCCCCACCTTTAGGACCACTGCCCTCATTTGTCATCACTAATAATGCCATCCCTCCCTAGTCTCACTCCAAGTGTCACCATTCTACCTGCGTCTTCTGCTCTCTCTAGGACCCTGATGCCAATGATTATACCATCCCTCAGGGACCCTGACTACTCATTTTTCCTCTCCCTCCCTGTGTCCTCAGCCCAGCGTCCACAGCTGTCACTCTGTCCCAGCTGACATCCTTGGCAACTTGAGCCTCTCATTTGGTCAGACTTACCAGGCAAGCCCTGACCTTGGTGAATCCCAACTCCCCCTTTTCAAGTGAGTATGGCCATGGAACACTCCTGACAGTGCTAACTGGGGATCACTTCCAAGTTATGACTACGAGCCCCAGTACCCTGGCACTGCCCAGTCATCCTGCCCCTTCCTTTGGGTCATTCCCATTCCAGCTGTCTGAGATGACCATTCGGCCCTTGGTTCTGCTTTTCACTAGGGAACATGGACTCCAGATAAGCTCCACAAGCTCCTACGGACTCCCCTGCCTGTGACCATGCTCATGCCGCCCCCTGCCTGGCCCCTGATGGTGGCTCTGAGCTCCTGTCATGCCAAGCCCCCAGCTGGGCTCCATGGCCCTTGCTCTCCTCCCACCCCAGGAAAATGGCTCCAGCAAAGTCTCTCCTCTGACATCACTGGATGACAAGTATGCTGTTATTTCTATAATCAAAACACAAACAAGATCTTTCCCTTGACTCCATCTGCCCTACCAGTTATGCCCCATTTCTCTGTACTCTGTACAGTAGGTTCCTTGGAAGTGTTGTCTCCATCTGTCATCTCTTCTCCTTTCCTGTCTGTTCTCCCTCGAGCTCACTGGACAGGCTGTTAGCTGCATTCCCTGCCAAAGATGCTCCTGATAGGGTCCTCGGTAACTGCCATGGTACCTGCAGCCTGGCAGCGGCATTTGACCCAGGGGTTTTCCTTGCCTTCCTTCTGGAACAAGTCTCCTCACTGGGTCCTCAGGACACACAGCTTGTGTCTGTCCCATGCTCCTTCTCAGACCCCTTTGCTCTTTATAAATTCAGTCCTCAGATCTCCCCACTCTGCCTACACTCATACCCTGCATGATCTCACTCAGGCCTATGGCTTTAAACATTCTCCCTCCCAGACCTTTTTCCAAACCTCACATTACACATCCAGCTGCCTACGGGCTTACTTGGAGATTGTGGTAGAAATTACTACTTGTCCTCCAGTCACCATTTTTTCCGTTTTCCTTAACAAAAGAATCTCCAGCACTTAGGGAATAAGTACTATGTTTTCTGGCCTTCTTTACAGTTGGGGTAACCTTGTGATTACATGTTGTCCAGTGAAATGTAAGTAGAATTCACGTTAAATGTTGTCCCCTTCCTAGAAGGGTACTCATGGGAGTACCTTCCTTAATGTCTTCCCCTGCTTAGGCCATGGAGTCAGCAGAAAAGAAAAAGCAAGAGAAAAATCAAGAACAAGAGGACAACCTGGCCGAAATCTCCAACCTCCTACATGGGGACCTGCTCTCTGAGAACCCACATCAGGCAGCTAGCTCCTTCGGGCCCGTTCTCCTTCCTAGAAGCTGGCATATGCATCTGATGGTTGGCACTCAAGCAGACATATGGCACTAAGAGGTGAAAGCCAAGTGCCAAAGATGGCAGGACATCAGTCAATGACCAGAGAGCTTCCAGGCCAGCCCTAGGCTTCTTCCCTAAGGATTTAGTTTACATGCAAGAGATGAAGTTCTATTTTATTTAAGATGCTGTTATTTGTGGCGTTCTGCCATTTTCCAGAAAACTTAATCCAAACAGATACAGATATTGAATGGACATTCTAACATATCCAAAACTATACTTGTGATTTACACTACTCTATCAGCCTGCTACTCCCATCTTCCCCATCTCTGTAAATGCCAATTCCATCCTTATAGCTGCCCAGACCAAAAAGCTTGGAGTCACCCTTCACTCTTGTTTCTTTCACATGCCACATCAAATCCTTTCACCAATCCTGTGAATGTGATCACTCCTCAGCCCCACTGCTGCCGGCACTGTGGTCCCAGCCAGCACCATCTCTCACCTCCCCCACTAGTCTACCATAGTGGGGTTTTGTTAGGGATCCCGTTAAATCTATGTCAGGTCTCATCACTCCTCTGTGCAAAACCCTCCAGAGCTACAGTCTCAGTTAAAGAAAAGAAAAAGCCTTCCCCAGGGCCTGACCCTGAACCTCCCTTGGCTCCTGCCCTTCCTTCCCTCTGCTCTAGCCCAGGCCCCTCATTCTTCTCTGAACCAGTATGCACAGCCCTGCCTCAGTGCCTTTGCTCTTGTAGTTCACCTTGCCTGCTCCTGGTTCCCTCCTCTCCTTTGGGTCTTTGTTTGATGTCACCTCTCAGCCCCCACCACTCTCCTCACACTGAGCATTCTCCATCCCCCTGCCGCCTTTACCCAGTCCTCCTACCTCCTGACTTAGCATAGAGGCTTAGCTTATGGATTGTCTGGATCTTGTTCTCCACCCCCCAGGTAGAATGGAAACTCCTGAAGAGCAGCTGCTGGGTCAGAGTGCAACAGCTGCTCTAACTAGAGCTGTGCTGGAAGGCAAGAGCAGCACAGAAGCCAGCTGAGGGCTCTGTTAGGAGGGGTGGGACAAGCACCAGCTTCTCCTGCATTTGCTGTTTCTGAACCAGACGGATCTGTTCCAGCTGCTCCTGGGTCATGCCCTTCCAGCGGTCAGGGACCACACGGTGGGGCCCGAAGGAGCTAGCTGCCTGATGTGGGTTCTCAGAGAGCAGGTCCCCATGCAGGAGGTTGGAGATTTCAGCCAGGTTGTCCTCTTGTTCTTGATTTTTCTCTTGCTTTTTCTTTTCTGCTGACTCCATGGCCTAAGCAGGGGAAAACATTAAGAAGGTACTCCCGTGAGTCCAGGGGGATTCTGAGGGACTAAGCCAGCAGATCTCAGTGGGGACCTTGAGGGGAGAATGAGCTAAAGGCTGCAGGACTTTGGGGGTGGGGTCAGACTTGTCAGGCGTGGTTGCAGGAATGTCTGTGGACCCCTAGCTATGTGAGCACTGCTGGACAGGGATCACTGTGGCTTGCTGGGTGTGTGCATCAGAGCTCTGAGTCTTTGTCCCAGGGTGCAAGGCAAGGAGCTGCCACCCAGGGTTAAGCTATTGCCCACATCAGCCAGCTCCCTGACCTGGGTGGGGCCCTGGCAACACCTGGATATCTGTGGGCCACAGAGAATACTCAGCAGATTCACAGCTGTGGTGACTTCTAAAATGTGGAAAATGCACTGTCACCTCAGGTCCTGATGGCTCCAGCCACAGGCCCCAGTACAAGTAAATTTCAGGTTGAACTAATGTTCAGTTCCCTTAGGGGCCCTGGCTGTGTGCCCTGTGGCAAGTCAACCCCCTCCCCTGCCCCCACCTGAGCTGCAGTCCTTTCTCTGTAGAATCAGGATTAACAGTTCTCTTCAGTACAAACAGAGGGAGCAGTTTGCAGGGTGCTGGCACCATAGGGGCTCATGCAAGGCTGGCTTAATTGGGTCACACAGCACATTTGGAGCCACATTAGCTCAAATTCAAATATTGGACTTGCCATTTAATACTTGGGTATAGCTAAGAAATTCAGCTCATCCCTCCAAGCTTGTTTCTTTATCAGTTAAACTGGGTTAATCATGCCTCTCCAGTAGGGCTATTGAACACAGCGACTAAAACCAACAGCTAATTGCTGCTAAAATTAAAAATAATGTCTATCTGACCAGGCGTGGTGGCTCACGCCTGTAATCCTAGTACTTCGGGAGGCCAAGGCCGGTGTATTGCTTGAGTTCAAAAGTTTGAGACAAGCCTAAGCAAGAGCAAGACTCTGTCTCTACTAAAAATAGAAAAACTAGCCAGGGATTGTGGTGAGTGCCTATAGGCCCAACTACCAGGGAAGCTGAGGCATGGGGATCACTTGAGCCCAGAAGTTTGATGTTGTTCTGACCTATGAGCTTTGATGATGCCACAGCACTCTACCCAGGGGCTGTGACCTATGATGCCACAGCACTCTTCCCAGGGGTAACAGAGTAAGACTTTGTCTCAAAACAAAATAATGCTTATTATTTACTGAGTCCTGATAACTGTTCTGACATGTCACAGCACTGCTGAGTTTAAACCTTACAACTGCCTCATAAGCTGGCGTTCTTTCCGGACACTTAGAATTGTTTTTCCTGCCCCTCAGAGTGTGGCCTCACGGCTCGCTCTGGCCAGCCATGTGCACAAAGGTAGTAGTGCTGCTTTGGAGAAGTCCCCAGGGTGGGGCTGGTCATGTTCCTCTTCTCTTGTGCTACTAGGTTCCTCTGGCTGGCAGCTGCTCTGTCCCAAGACCTGGGTTCCACATTGAGGATAATGAAGAGAGCTCCCAACTAACCTATAGTAGACAAGCAATGTGAATGGAACTTCTACTGCATGTTTTACACTGCTGAGATTTGGGGAGCATTTCTTACTTCGGCAAGAGTTAGCACATTCTGACTGATATGAGTGGCTGTTGTCAGTATCCTCCTTCTGCAGATGAGGAAACTGAGGCATGGAGTGGTTTGCCCAAGGCTGCAGAGAAGACCTGCATTGATGTGGTCAGACTCTAGGCCCTGCATGATAAACCCTGACACTACAATACCTCATGATGGAATGAGCATCCACACAGAGAACCGGAAGCCCTCAAGTGTGTGAACTCCCCTGCTGAACTGGACAGAATCACTTGGAATTGTCTTATGAAGGTAACTTATTTAGTTAGACTCTTGTGTTCATATCCCAGACTGACTAACAAAAGCTCAAACTGAATCAGGAACAGAGCTTCAAAAGCCAAAGGGCAATTTCCCTAGTGCAGGGGCATTTGTGATGGCGCTGCCTCATGGCACCTACGTGAGGAGCTGGGGGTCTGACAGTACACACTGTAGGTGCTCATTGTATGGAGCAAATGAATAAACCAATGAATGACGAACAAGGTTTAGTAAAAACCACACCAGTGCCAGCAAGAGGGGCTCAATAAACAACTGTTGAATTGATAAATGACCAATTACCATCATTATCTTGATTGCTTCCATAAATGAAGGATGGATGCCCAGGCAGTACTGGGCTAATTGTAAAGAGCCCCATTCTGCCACAATCAGCTGTGAGATCTGGAGTGAACAGCCTCCTCTCTCTGGGCTTCCTCTGTAAAATGAGGGGCAAAGATCAGTGATCTCTCTGACCCTGCACAGGTTGCTAGTTGGTGAGCTCGGACCCTGGGGGTCTTGCCTTGCCCTTTGGCCTTGCCATCACTGGCAGTTTGCCTCCCTCTTTCCTCTCTGCTGCTGAAAACTTCATTCTCTGGTCTCTGGTTCAGCCTCCAGGATTTTTGAGCTTTATATATGGTTTACCATGTGGTACTTTACGAAGTATATGCAAACACAGGAATCAAAAGTGAGGAGGTTAAAAATAAATGTGCAGCGAGGTTCTAATATCTTCTTCTGCTCTCCAGTGGGTTACCTTACACAGCCAGCCTTCTTTGGGGCTGTAGTCCTAGTGGACAAGCTAATCTATTTTTTTTTTTTTGAGACAGAGTTTTACTACATCACCCTTGGTAGAATTGGTGTCATAGCTCACAGCAACCTCAAACTCTTGGACTTAAGCGATTCTCTTGCCTCAGTCTCTAAGCAGCTATTACTACAGGCACCTGCCACAATGCCCGGTTATTTTTTTTGTTGTTGTTATAGTTGTCATTGTTGTTTAGCTGGCTGGGCCAGGTTTGAACCTGCCACCCCGGTATATGTGGCTGGTGCCCTGAGTGCTGAGCTATGGGCACTGAGCCTGAACATGCTTATCTGATAAAAACAAACAAACAAACAAAAAAACCCAGGCCAAGCCCCTACCCACCCAGGAAATATAATTGCATTTGAAAAGAAAACCTTGAGGGGTGTGGTCTAATTAAATTAAAGCAACTTCAGCACGGTTAGAGGGGAAAGGTAGGGAGTGTGTGGGCCAGGAGGAGGGAGCTGTCAGCAGACACCAAAGTCTGAGCTAAGCCACATCATCTTCATCATTGCTCCCACTAATGGGTGGCTGTGTCCCTGAAGTTGGTAAAGAGGAACCCTGAGAGGCGGTACCAGGCATCACAATGGTGCTAGATGATATTGGCCTAGGTAGATGCTACTGTTCTCATGTTATAGAAGAAGAAACTGAGGTTTAGGACAGTGAGGTGACTTTCCCAGGTTGCATGGCTCCTAGATTCACAATTAAGGATGGGGACTGGATCTCATCCTCTCTCAACGGCAGCTCCTACTGGGCTCTGTAGCAAGTGAGAGCTGAGATGGGATTCCAGGGAGGGTGGGGAGCCCCAGGATGCTGCTGTGTGCTCCTCTTCCCTGCAGACAGAGTTGGAAGCACACTCACCTGGTTCCTGTTGAACTCTTTCACAGCTGCACAGATAGCCTTTCTGGTAGTACTTTCCAGCTTCTGTATTTGTCTGGCTGTCTCATCAAACTGCAGCCTTGTGTCCAAGTAGAGGTTCTCTGAAAGGAGATAAGACTCAGATAGACTCACCCTGCAGTAGCGCCTCCCTGGTGTGCAGAGCGCCGTGGTGTGCTTGCTCTGCCTTCACCTCTTGGCCTGTCCTCAGCCATGAAAACAAGGATGGGAATAATGACTAAAGGACCTACCTGGGAAGGCCACAGGGAGAGTTGGATGAGCAAAGTCAAGGGCACGCCTGGCGCTCAGTCTGTGCTGGTGCTCAGGACTATGGGTTGGTGATGTCAGCTGTGATCCCAGGGCAGGCTGATGGTTGTGTCTCATGCTATGATTGCTCTCTCAGAAGGCAGCTACGCTCTTACAGTAGGCAAGGAACAGGTGAGCCCAGAAAAAGGGGCTGCAGAAACCAGACAGAACTCCACAGAGGAAGGGGCACCATCTAACAGATATTTGTGGCATGACACAGGGGTGTAGGGAGAGGAGGAGGAAGAGTTGTCATCAAGTGGAAGGTCCAAACAGCCAAATGTAAAGATCTGAAGTCAAAGTGAGCAGGTTCAAATCCCGGCCATTTCCCAGCTTTGTTAATCTCAAATATTTATTAATCTATCTGAGCCTCCCTGACCTTGTGGAGAGATTTTTATTTTATTTATTTTATTATTATCATTATTATTTTTGAGTCTTACTTTGTTGCCCTTGGTAGAATGCCATGGTGTCATAGCTCACAGCAACCTCAAACTCTTGTGCTCAAATGATTCTCATGCCTCAGCCTCTCAAGTAGCTGGGACTACAGGCGCCCACCACAATGCCCAGTTATTTTTAGAGACGGGGTCTTGCTCTGGCTCAGGCTGGTCTTGAACCTGTGAACTCAGGCAACCCACCCACCTCAACTTCCCAGAATGCTAGGAGTGAGCCACCATGCCTGGCCCATCAATGCCTTTTTAAAAAATGTAACAGCTTGGCGGGGTGTGGTGGCTTACTCCTGTAATCCCAGCACTGTGAGGGGCCGAGATTGGTGGATAGCCTGAGCTCATAGGTTTTAGACCAGCCAAAGCGGGAACTCATCTCTAAAAATAGCCAGGCATTGTGGCGGGTGCCTGTAGTCCCAGCTAGTTGGGACTGAGGCAAGAGAATCACTTAAGCCCAAAAGAGTTTGAGGTTGCTGTGAGCTATGATGCCTCAGCACTCTACCAAGGGCAACAAAGTGAGGCTCTGTTTCAAAAAAAAGAAAAAACAAAAGGCATTGATCAGAAGTTTCTTCAGTGGTATTTGTGCTCTGTGGGTCTCCTCACTGTCTCCAGCAACAAAGACCAAACAAACTCTTTAGCCTTGAATTTCTGGCCTTTGTGTGCTGTCAGCCTTACCTCTCATCCTTCATTTGTTCATTAATTAATTCATTCATTCAACATACAGCCATCTAGAGTCTAGCATGGGCCACCCACTTTACTGGGAACACAGTACTTAGAGACAATACATCAAATGTAAAGAATTTGCCCTGCCTTCCTGGAACTTGCTCTCTAGAGGATGAGATAAAAGCAAATACATGAAACCCAAAATAAATGTGTTAAACTGTGATAGTTCCATAGAAGAAAGGAGACTCAGAGCAAAAAAGGTAGGGACACCTGACTTAGGTAGTTGTGGGGTACGGAGTAAGGGATCATTTCTCTGGGAGGAAGTGACATTATATTGAGATCTGAACGATAAAAGTTGGTTAGAAGCAGTACAGAGCTTCTGAGGTGGGAAAGGATTTGGCAGGATCTAGAAAGAGCTGAAATGGCCAGAATGTACTGAGTTGGGTGGGCGTGTAAGCCAGTATCAAAGGGAGGCAGAGGCCCAGGTGCAGAGCCTCTGGGCTCCAGGAGGATTTTGCATTTTGTTCCATGGACCTTGGGAAGCCATTAGAGGGGTTTAAGCTAAGATAGAGGGGGTTGGGGGACACTGTCCAACTTGACTTTTTTTTTTTTTTTGAGACAGAGACTCAAGCTGTCACCCTGGGTACAGTGCCATGGTGTCACAGCTCACAGCAACCTCCAACTCTTGGGCTTAGGCAATTCTCCTGCCTCAGCCTCCCAAGTAGCTGGGACCACAGGTATCCACCATAACACCCAGCTATTTTTTTGTTGCAGTTCTGCCAGGGCCAGGTTTGAACCTGCCACCCTTGGTAGATGGGGCCGGCACCCTACCTACTGAGCCACAGACCCTGCCCTTGACATTGTTTTAAAAGTATCACTCTACTTTGTTGGGAACTGACCAGAAAGAAGAAAGGAAGTGTAAGAAAGTAAAAAAGCTACTGGCAGTGGTCCATCCATGTGAGAAGTGGCAGTGTTGCAGGAAGATGAGGCCCAGTGGAGAGAACGAACACCCAAACTCTGTGTTTAAAAGAGGAAGAGCTTTATTTCAGCTGTTGAATCAACAGCACAGAATTCAAAATGGCCACATGCCCCAATGGCTCAGTCATTTCCTTTTTATCCCCAGTCAAAAAGTTCTGGCCTATGGGTACCTATCTCATTGTCAGTTTGAATCAAGCCAGAGAAGCTGGCTCTGGCTTTTCCAGAAGTGTGGAAACAAGCAAGTTTCCAGGTCCCAGGAAGTTAAGATTACACAAATTCCTAAGAGCTGAGCAACACGGGGAGGACCTTGCAGGTGTATCCTTAGGGTCTCCTAGATATACTCTCTCAGCAGTTTGCATAATGATGAAAAAAGGAAGAAGATGGGTGGACAGTTCAAAATAAATGCAGGAGGTAGAAGAGATGAGAGTTGAAGATGGCCTGGAAATAAGGAGGGCAACTGAGGATGATCCCCAACTTTCTGATTTAATTAAAGGAAGGAGGTGTCAGTTGGTAAGAGGAGAAATATGGAAGAGGATTCAGAGGTAGAATTCAGTTTCCAATGTGTGGTGAGATGTTGATGAGGCTGATGCAGGACTAGGTCCCAGGCTGAGACAAAGATTTTCAGCCAGAGTTGGAAATTTGGAGCACTTGGGAGATGGGTGAGATTTTTAAAGCCCTGTGTGTATATTATTTTAACAAATATTTACCTATATGCCAGGATCTAAGGCTATGGTTGTGAATAAAACAGACATATCCTCTGTCTTCATTGAGTTTGGGATGTGACTCAAAAGAGGAAGACAGAAAATACATAAACCATACAACGTGTCCCGTGATCAGGGCTGGAGAAAAGTAAAACAAGGAAAGGGACAGGCAATGTGGAGCTGGAGGAGACACAAGGCTTAAAATAGGGGGGCAGGGGAGGCCTCACTGTTAACATGACATTTGAATAAAGACTTGAAGGAAGAGAGGTAAACACCTTACAGATAGATATGTGAGGAAAGATCTTTCCAGACAGATGGAATAGCAGATGCAGAGGCCCTGAGGCAGAAGTGGGAATGGAGGGAGAGGAGGGCAGACTAGTAGAGGATAAACCCAAACCATGAAGACCTTATATTCCTTGAAAAAAATTGGCTTTTACTCTGAGTGAAGTGGGAAGCTACTGGAGGGTTTTGAACAAAGGATCTAATTTAACTTTTACTTGGATCATCCTGGCTGCTAAAGACAGATGCACTGAGGCCAGCTGAGAGACACTGACAACTTAGTCCAGAGTGAGAATGAAGGTGACAGCAAAAAGTAGTGAAATTTGAGCTGATTTGCTGGTGGTCTGGATACAGCATTTGAAAGAAAAGAATGAGTCAAGATGACTTGCACTGGGGCCTGGGCAATTAGAAAAAGAAAGCTGCTGTTGACACAGATGGAAGGTTAGGTCTAGGGGGATAAGCAGGATGTTACTGGACTAGTACTGACTTTGACATGTATATCAGGCACCACGAGCAATTAGTCGGATTTATGAGTCTAGATTCAGGGAAGAGTCCAGGCTGGAAATACATACTCGGTCAATAATGTGCCTAGATGAGATCACTTAGGGGTGAGTTTGGCTGATAGAGGAGAGGCCCACTGGTACACAACAACATCTGGAAGTGCAGAAGATAGGGAGAAAACAACAAGGACTGGGGAGGAAGAGAATCAGCATGAGAATGGTGTCCTGAAAGCCAAACCACATGACCATCTCAAGGAGAAGATGACCATGTCTCATGCTGTTGATAGATCCAGATGAAGATCAAAAACTGACCATGCACTGGGTGACATGGAGGTGACTGTGAGGTTAGCCAGGATAGTTCCAGTGGAGGAAGGACTGCAGAAGTCTGGTAGGGGTGGTTCAGAGAAAATGGGAGAAGATGATTTGGGGAGATGTCCTTCATGGAGAGTAGAATGAGAGAAGAGTCTGGGAGGAGGATGAGCTGACTAGGGAGACTACAAATTAACCAGCAGAAAGGAAGGGACCAAGGGGCAGAGTGCCTCACTCCCTGGCAGCTCCCTTTGTCTTCATCTCAGCTCGTCATCATTTTGCCACCTACTGATGACCCCCTGAGAACAGGGATCAAATGCACTGAGAGTATGTCCACTAAGAGGAACTGGCCGGGCAGGATACCAGTGGCTTTAGTGAGAGTGGTTTTTTTTTTTTTTGCAGTTCCCTCACAGAGATAGGCTGTTTCATGCCTCAGAGCCTTTGCCCAAGAGGTTCCCTGGGCCTGGAGAGTCCTGATGAGGGCATGTGACCACCATGCCTGTGCCTATGCCCCCATAGCACCCTGTGGGAACTTCTCCCACAGCAGCCAGAAGACTTGGGGGGACCCATTATTTCCCATTCATCTTCCCAGCAGACTGTGAACACTGTGGGCAGGGACCCATTCTGAGTTACCTCCATGCTCCAGCACCTAACTAGGGCCCTGAAAACAGGGACATGCTCAGAAAGTATTTCCTGCATGAATGGCACAGGACTGGAGCTACTTCCCTCAGGTGGTATAGGCACTGATTTTTCTTTCCCCACATGGCCAAAGCAGCATGTGGCTGTGCACATTTGTATGACTTAAAGACAAATCCACAAAAACCAGGGGTTGGTTAGCTGAAGAGAACTGAGACAATCTGTCTCTCCTGCCTCATTACCTGCACATTTCTGCTCAGCACGGGCACGCTTCCACTCCCTTTGCTGTTGTAAGGACCACTCTCTGTTTTGCTCCTGTTGGAATTTCTTCCTCTCATAGAAGTTTAAATCTTCTCCCATGAATTTCTGCATACCTGATACTGTATTCCGAATATCATTATCTGACTGTCGGGCTGGAATATCTTTCTTAAGGGCTAGAGGGTCAGACAGATCAAATTCACGGCGAGTTTCTGGCTTCTGAAAGCTCTGTTGGAAGTCATTAATCACTCTACAGAGAGTTTTCCTATCTTTCCTTTCCCGGTCTTCTAATATACACATGATTTTGTCATTTCGCCTCATTTCAGCACCTGGAAGAGACATAGCATATCTATAAGTTTAAGGTTCAGAGGAAAAAATAAATCTGAATCCACTTCAAAAACCAATTTTTAGTGATTGTAAAAGTAATACAACTCTCCAAAAAAATAACATAACCATTAAAGGATCAGTATCTTGAATATACAAAGAATATCTACAAATTAATTTTAAAAACCCATTGAGGTCAGGCGTGTAATTCTAGCACTCTGGGAGACTGTGGAGTCCCTTAAGGTCAGGACTTAAAGACAAGCACAAACCAGAGTGAGACCTTGTCTCTACTAAAAGTAGGTGTCATGGTGGGCACCTAGGCAGGAGGACCATTTGAACCTAGGAGAGTGTGAGGTAGTTGTAAGCTAGGATGACACAATGGTGCTCTAGCCTGGGCAATAGAGTGAGACTCTGTCTCAAAAGAAAAAAACCCAAAACATAGGTAAAAGATAGAAATAGACAAATCACTATAAAGAAACCTGAGGGCTCAATAAACTTGTGAAACAGTGACCAACTTACCAGACAGAAAAATCCAATGACTAAGAGGCAAAATATTTAAAATGCTAACAACAGCACATATTAGAAGGATGTGAGAAAATAAGATCTCCCATTACTGCTTGTGAAAGCATAACTTGATATACTTACAACAAAGAATCTGGAAACATCCATAGAACTGAAAACATGCCTACCTACAACCTACCAGTTCCACCTGTAATCACTCTCACATGTGTGCCAGGGACCTAATGAATGGACAGTCATCTCAGCAGGGTTCACAGTGATAAAAAAAAAAAAAAAAAACAAGTAAAATATCTAAACCAGCATCATTACGGGAATGGGTAAAGAAATTGTGGCTAATTCATATAACAAAATGCTATAAAGCAATGTAAATGAATACTCTCTGTATGTAGATCAGACTAATTTCAAAAATAAAACACTGAAAAGAGGCTCAGCACCCATAGCTCAGTGAGTAGGGCACTGGCCACATACACTGAGGCCAGCGGGTTTGAGCCCAGCCCTAACCTGCTAAATGACGACAACTATAATCAAAAACTAGCCTGGTGTTGTGGCAAGCACCTGTAATCCCAGCTACTTGGGAGGCTGAGGCAAGAAAATTGCTTAAGGCTCGGCACCTGTGGCTCAAGTGGCTAAGGCACCAGCCACATACACCTAAGGTGGTGGGTTCGAATCCAGCCCCAGCCTGACAAAACAACAATGACGGCTGCAACCAAAAAATAGCTGGGCGTTGTGGCAGGCGCCTGTGGTCCCAGCTACTTGGGAAGCTGAGACAGGAGACTTGCTTGAGCCCAGGAGATGGAGGTTGCTGTGATGCCACAGCACTCTACCCAGGGGGATAACTGAGGCTCTGTCTCAAAAAAAAAAAAAAAAAAAAAAAAAAAAGAAAATTGCTTAAGCCCAAGAGTTTGAGGTTGCTGTCAGCTATGACGCCAAGCAATCTACCCAGGGCAACAGAGTGAGACTCTGTCTCAGAAAAAAAAAAAAATAGCTGTTTTTCTTTCAAGAGAAGAAGAACTAGTACATTAAATAAATTGAGCACAAGAAATTTTAAAAGGGGGAAGAGCATGAAAATAACAATTTTATACATACGTGAAGAAATAAGGACTAGAGTCTAAAGGCACACAGCCTTAGACCAACAGGAAAGCACTCAGGAAATGCTCACCAAATGATTCATGTCTAGCTTTTTCAGTTGCTTCTTTTATCTTCTGGTCACGAACCTGAACATTCCAGGCTTCTGTGTCTCCCTGGGAATGTAAAACCAGGGAAGAAGGGTTAGAGCCAGATAATTTTGTGCAGTAGGTAACAGTCCTCTTATCTTCTTAGCCTTGCCCCACCATAAAGGAGTCATCTCAGCTACATACATATCAGGCCTTTCATAGTGGGATGCTTTGGTTTATAGTTATTCTTTGGTCTTTCCTCTCAACTTTAACCAGAATTTCCTTCCCCTTCTCGCTTAGTTAACAGATACTCATCCTCAAAGCATTCCTTAGGCATCACCTCCTCTGGGAAAGCCATCTCGGATTCTCCTCCAGCCTTCAGTCCCAGTCTTTGCTCAGGTACCACACCAGTACTCCCCTCGCTCACAGACCCGATTCCGCTGCATTCTGATATGATTTTAACGTACTCTGCATTTTAATATAATTTTCATGTTTTAACGCCTGCCTCATCCACTGGGCCATGAGCTCCGCAAAGTCAGGGGGTGCCTTACACCTAGTTCAGGTTTGGCACAAAACAGGAATTCCCGGGCTCTTGTCAAATGAATGGACTGGAAGGAGGCGCTGGTAAGGTAGAGAATCTGGCTCAGAGGGAGGGGAGCTGCAGTGTAGCCCTAACTCCAGGCAAGCTGCCCATCTGTCAAGTGAGAGAGTGCCTTGTTCTCCCGTTGAGGTCTCTCCCATCTAGGGCAAAGTCAGTACATCGATCCGTTTCTCCCGCGACCCCGCAGCCCCTCCCCGTAAAGGCCTGGTGGAACCCCCAGCGTTGCGGGAACCCCGTTTCGCCAGCTCCGCCCGCCCGCGCCCCTTCCCTCCCGGCCGAGGGCCTCACCCCGATGATCCTGTTCCTGGCGTTGAAGATCCGTTCTTGCCTCCACAGCTCCGCGTGTCTCTTTCTGGCCTCGCTGGCGTGCTGCTCCAGGTCCTTGGGCAGCGCCACTGCCATGGCTTTGGGAATCGACGGGAAATTCTACAGACTTTTTAGAACACGCAAGATAATAAGAAGAGACAGCGAAAGTAAAGCGGGCTGTGTCCCAGAAGAGGCTGGCGCCCTCGGAGGCTGGGCCGGAGGGAAATCTGTTTACAGCGCGGCTCTCGGTCGGGCTTTCCCGGCGTCGCCGGGGCTGCAGAGTCCAGCCACCTCGGGAACGCAGACAACTCGGTTGCTAAGGAACGGCGCGGCGGGCCGCGGGCGGCGCTGCTCTCGCGAGACCTGGCGGGCGCTTCCCGCGCTTTTTCTCGCCGGCGTGTGAGGACCGAGCTGAGGCGCGGAGGGCACAGCCATGGGCCGCTTGGAGCTGCTGCTCGTGGAGAACTTCAAGTCGTGGCGGGGCCGCCAGGTTATCGGCCCCTTCAGGAAGTTCACCTGCATCATCGGCCCCAACGGCTCCGGTAACTGAGCGCCCCGGGACGGGACCCGACGCCTCCACCGTCGCAGGGCACACTCGGCCTGAGGGGTCGTATGTGAGGCTGGGCACGCGGCCTGGACCCGGGCGGCCGTGCGGGGGCCAGCCCGGCCACGCGGCCCAGGCCTGGAGCGGGCCCGCGAACTCTCACGGCACCCCGGCGCTGTGCCTCGCCCCCCACCATTCCCACACGCCGCGGCCTCCCTGCCCCAACCCGCCGCCGCCCCCAGCCTCGTCGGCCCCAAATGCCTCAGGCCCCCACCCTGTCCACACCCGGCCCCCACCTTCTCCCGACCCGCCTCGGCCCCCCACCCTGTCCACACCCGGCCCCCACCTTCTCCCAACCCGCCTCGGCCCCTGCCCTGTCTACACCCGGCCCCCACCTTCTCCCGACCCTCCTCCGCCTCCGTCCCCAGCCCCCACCTCCCTGTCCCCCTTGCCCTACAACACTCATTAGCCCCTACTCTCTTACCACTCTCCCCAGCCCCACCCTGTCTCCCACCCCCTAGCCCTTACCTGCCCCCCCTCCCCCCGCTCCCAGGACCCCCACCCTCGCCCTCCACTCTGAAGCTCGCAAGCTTCACCCTGCCCCCTTTTCCACCCTGGGCTCTCTTCTTTTCCTCGCCCCTCCTGCTTTGGGGGCATCCTCTCTTGGCCTCAGTCTGGGTCAGTCCTCCTCTCCGTCCGGTCCATTTCTCAACCAGATTGAGAGGGAAATTCCAGGCGGTCAGTGATTCGGATCCAGGGAACCTTTGACCCAGGAATATTGGGCCCCATTTATTGAGCTTTTACAAAGTTCCTGGCACTCTGTTTTTGTTTAACTCTTAACAGATGGGTATTCCCCCCACCCCCATTTTATAATCGAGGAAACTGAGGTCCAAAGAGGCCAGATGACTTGGGTCCAGCCCAGCAGGCCGGGTCACGTTGTGCTGCACCACCAAGGAGCAAGGTTCTGAAGTGGCTGGTACCTCTGGTCGTTCCTAACATGTGCCTCTTCTTTTGGTTCTCTCTCTATCCTTTCTTAGCCCAGACAGCAGATTTGAGTTCAAAGTTGCTTCAATAAACTAATTTATTTGACAGATCAGAATAGAACACTTAAATATATGCTGTCTTGGTACTTGAAATTTGGAGTATATTTTTTGTAGAACTGATGTGAAATTTGTTGCTTTATAAAAAAGTAAATGCTGTTTCATATTTTCTTTTGCATTTGATACATATAAAAGAATACCTGAGCTTAGAAAAAGTCACATATTTGAAGGTTTCTTTACTCTTGGGACCAGTGTATTTCCTGATTTAAACTTTATCAAAAAGATGATTAAATATACTTGTGTTCTTACCCTAACTGTTTTCACTCATTTATCAGGTCCCTGGGCCCATCATCAGTTAATTTTCACCTTTTAACTGGTGATTTTCTTTTTTTTTTTTTTT